TGGGGTATATTGAATCATCTTGGAGGTCAACTGGGGCTCTCCCATGCCTATTGGAGTCATCTTAACCAGTGCCCCCCCCCCCCCCCCCCTCGGAGGCCAAACTGTGTTCAAAACCTTAGTACAACCAATGACATTGGCATTCTCGCCGAGGCGTCTTGGATCGTTTGGGGTGCCTCTGGGGGGCCTCTTGGGGCCCCTTGGGGGTCCCTTGGGAGCCTATTGGGGGCATCCTGGGGGCCTCTTGGGAGCCTGTTGGGGCCCTCTTGGGGCACCCTTGGGAGCCTTGGGAACGCTTTTGGGGCCATCTCGGAGGAGATCGATCAAAGAAAGGGGTTCCTTAATTAGGGCCCCCCTCCAGGTGGCCAGATTGGGGCCAACACTTTAATAACACCAATGATGTTGGCTTCCTCGCCGAGGCCATTTTGGACGCTCCAACTACCCGCAGAGCCCCCCGCCCAGGTCCAGGGGAGGGGGTAGGGGGAGGGATCAAGAGTCTCCCTTCCCGCCCGCAAGTCGTTTCGCTCACTCCCACACGCCCTCCCAACACATACGTAGCACCCGAGCCTGACCCGCGCCGCAGCATATGCAGCAGTCGTCTTTGAATGGGCAGCTACTGGGGGCGAATCCGCCGCCGCCGCCGCCGCCACCGCGCCTCCCGCCGCCGCCGCCGCCCCCGCTGCCAAATCGCCGCAGCCGCAGCCGCTGCCGTCGCAGTCGCTGCCGCCACCGCCGCCGCCGCTGGCGCCGCCGCCGCCGCCGCCGCCGCCTCCGCCCCCGCCGCCGCCGCCGCCAAGTGTACTCTGTAGTGTGTTTTTGGCAGGGATGGTGGGGGGGGGAGGCCGCATGGGGTTCGCTGCGCATGCTCCGGATTTGGAGACATATTGTGTTTTGTATTGTTGTTGTCAACGGATGGTGGGGGCAGAGTGTGTGTTACATTGTTTTTTTAACAAGGGATGGTGGGGGGGTGCCCGCATGGACCTGGGTTGGCTCCCAGTCGCCTGGGGCAGGGGGTGTATATTCATAGGGAGCAGTGATAAACCCCTCCCCGAAGGGGAAGAAGTGGATTGGAAGAGGAAGCTCCCTGGACCACCTACGCCCTAAAGGGCTGGTGGGACTCGGAGGTCCGCGCGGATTTCTCCGATCGGCGCTGGACCCTCCTCCATGGCGCGCGGAGCGCGCCAGGGGCGGCGCCCCAGGCGCCGCCAGGGGGCCCAAGCGCCGATGCGCGGAATCCACGCGGACCTTCGAACTTGTGCCCTTCAGTTCCGCCACCCAAGGAGCGGCCAGAAGAGCGGAGGGAGAGCGTGTCCCGAATGCGACTCCACTCGCGGTGTTGTGCCTTGGCCTTGTCGGTTCTGCGGTTTCTTCCCCCGCCCATCCACCGGATGACAGTGGAGGGGGAGGAGGAGGAGGAGGAGGAGGAGGAGGAGGAGGAGGAGGAGGAGGAGGAGGAGGCGATGGCGCCTCATCTCAGCGTCGCGCCAATCCGCCAGCGCGCTCGCGCGGGCCACTTGGGGGCACGGCGCCCGCGGGGGCAGGACCGGCGAGGGGGTCCTTCCCGATCGTTGCGCTCGAGCACGGCTTTCCTTTTGGGGGTCCAAGTGAGGACACGCAGGGCTCGAGGAGGAGGAGGAGGAGGAGGAGGAGGAGGAGGAGGACGATGTATCGACCTCGCCCCCAGAAGCAAGCTCAGTAGAGGTTCACAACATGCGAACCTCACAAGCATCCTAGGGCCGACGCACACTCGTTCCTCCGATGCCCCAGTGGGTCACAGCGGGCGCCGACGAGTCGAGCAGGGCGCAGCACAGAAAGTCCCAACCAGAGTAGGGGATAGCCAACTGCTGAAAAAATGACCGACCCACACGCACACGCATGCACACACACACACACATACACACTCGTTTGGCGCCGCGGCCCCGCGCGGCGACTGGGCGTAGAAAATCGACTGCAAGTAGCCGTACGCGCGCGTCTACTCCCTGCCAGTATACACAGACACACACACACACACACACACACTCACACGCACGCAAACGCACCGCCAGCTGCAAGTGCTTTGGCGGGTCCTCCTCCTCCTCCTTGCCTTGCCTGTTGCCCCAGGGTTTTGTATTACGTAGTCCCTATACTGGCCTCGGCCGGAAGGCCACACGCACCAGGGCGGCCTGACCGAGTCCCAACAAATCGTCCCCTTTGCGACGTCCCCCCCGCCTCGCCCGAAGACGCATGCATGCGGCCGGAGGGGAACCCGAGGGGCGAGAATGACGCCACGGAAGCCGATGGTTTGCCAGGCGTCGGTGAGGCCGCTCCCGAGTCTAGGGCCCAGGAAGGCCCTGGCCAGGCACCGTGGTGACGAACGCGTGCCCTCTGCGACTCGAGAGCTCCAAGGGGCCCGCCGCGTCGCTTCTCCTCTGGCGTCGCCGTTTGCGTCATGGGCCCAGGGTGAGCCCACCGGCCAGGCAGCGGTGGCGTGGCATGGCTGCCCTCCTCCTCCTCCTCCTCCTCCTCCTCCTCCTCCTCCTCCTCCTCCTCCCTCAAGCCCCCTCCTCTTCCTCCTCCTCCTCCTCCGGCCTTAGGGATCTCGATTCCTGCCCCGTGGCCTCCAGGGGACGACGTGTAGCACAAACTGCCGCCAGGATCTTGTTGCGACACCAGGATATGCGGTCTACAGTGGGGGCCCATGCCAAGAAGCACCCTGCTTGCCTCCAGGGTGCCCTGGGCTTCCTGGGTTTCGATGGTTTTGCGATGGAAAGCGTGGCGTTCCCACGCAGCAGATCGATGGACGTCCCGGGTCTCATGGTTGGGCTTCTTGTGGAAGGTGTCGTGTGGTCGAGCCCCTACCCTCCCTGCCCACAGCCGCCCGCCCTCTCGAGTCCGCCTCCCACGCGCGGGCGGCAAAACACGGGGCGCACGCTCAGCGAGGACGGAGCGCGCACCTCGCCCGCGACCAGTGGCTCTCCCTCCCTCCCTCCCTCCAGCCTCCTGCGGGTGGAGCTCCTTTCATCGCGCACAGATAAGCCCTGACCCTGATCACATGATGAACAAGTGGCCACCCTGCGGTCCCCGTCGTCGCATTGGGGATGATAACTCTAGGCGGCTTGGTCTGGTATCTGCGACCCTCTCGCCCCCCCAGAAGCAAGACTCAGTTAGAGGTGTGCCAGACGTTGGTTCAACGCATGCGAACCAACCTCCTATTCAAGCATCCTGACCGGGTCCCCGACAAGCACACTCCGTGACTCACTGCGCCCGATCCAAGCCCCAGCTGCGGGTTCACAGCGGCGCGCCGCACGAGGGCATCAGGGATGCCAGAGGCGCAGCCCTCCGACCCCCAGGGAAAAAGTCCCGGAAGACACCAGGATATGGGTAGGGGATAGCCACCTCCTCCTCCTCCTCCTCCTCCTCCTCCTCCCCCCCCTCCGCCCCTTCCTCCGCCCCTCCTCCGCCGTCGAGCCTGGGCGCTCCTCGGCTGCGGCGGTGCCGGCGGGCCCCCGCGCCTGCCCGCGCCGGCGCGCCGCGCTCGCGCAGAACCCGCGCGCCGCGCCCCGGCGAGGCCACCCCTCTCGAGCAGTGGCGGCGCGTCCTGGCTCGCCTATTATCAAGGGCAGAAGAAACGCCCCTACCCTGGTTTACGAGGCGCTGTGCGCTGAAACTCCTGTGGGCTGACAGGGTAAACCCTGCGTGATGTGCCGCGTCCTGGCGGCTCTAGGCTTTGGGGGGTCCCAGGAGGTTTACAGACCGCGCACTTGTAACCCAGGGTAGGGTCGTTTTTCATCCCTCAGTATTAGCCCCACCAGAGAATCGGGGGTGGACAGAGCCCCCGCCCGGACACGTCGATGAGTGAAGTGTCTGTTTTCGGTTCTCGAGAGGGCGCCACGGCCGTCATTTTCCAGACTGGCGCCCGCCAGGTTTGGGCCCCGGGTCGGTCTCACGAAACCACGTTTTGCTAAAGGGGGTTCTGTCCATCCCCGAAAGGATGTTCCGAGGACCTTTTGTGGTCTCCACGACATGTTCTCAGAACGTGTCTGGCCGGGACTGTCCTGTTCTATCTCATCGGGTTTCTGTTCTAAGAACCTTGCTTCTTTCGGGGGAGCGTAAGACCCGGGTTTGCCAGGACTCGGGTTCGCCATCGTTTTTTGACGACGGCGCTTCGGATTTTGACGAGGAGGAGTTTCGTGGGATGTCTGCAGCGGGAGGCCTCGTCAAAATGCAGGCTCGGCCTCGTCATTTTTTTGACGACCTCGTCGGGGATTTCCGAGTCCCCTGTACCCAGGTCTTACGTCCCCCTGATTCTTTTCTCATAGCATCTCTGGGTTCTGAGAACGTTTCGTGGTGGGCCTACAGAAATGCCGGGACGGTGGGTCCCTGCTCAACCCTCCGCTCCAGCAGGTCATGGGAGCCTTGTGTACCCTTGGGTCGGGCATGTCCCTCCACAGGAGGAGTCCACATTGATCATGTCTTATTCTTAGAGACGGCTTTCGTTTTTTTTTCTGCGGGGGGGCAAGATCCTTTCATTTCTAACTGTTCTGTCCTGGGCCTCCTCCTGGCCACTAGGGGGCCAGGAGCAGTTAGAAACGAGCACAATTAGAAATGAGCAGGATTAGAAATGAACGACGTATACTCAAAGATAGGAAAGAAGATCATCCGGGGACGAGTTCTCTATTCTTTCCTGCGATGTTGGAGAGCATTTTCTGGCCATGTTTCATCTTTCCTCCAGAATCCGCCTGTATGAGGGCATGCCCGACCTAAGTATACCGTCGCAATTCCGTCTTTAGCGTCTACCAGCGTCGATTAGCGTCTGGGAGTGGATGAGGTAGCGCCGATTCAGCGTCGGATTGCGTCGATGAGGCTCGACTTGGCGTCAATTAGCCTCGACTAGCGTTGAGTTGCGTCGATCCGCAAGAGCCGACAAGATGGTATGGGACTTAGTGGGCTGGAAAATGGAAACGGCAAAAGAACGGCGACTGGAAACGGCAACAGAAACAGCTCCAGGAGTGGAGCCGGGGCCGGAACCGGCGAAAAGACGGCGACGAAACCGGCAACAAAAACAGCGTCGGAACTGGCAATAAAAACGGCCAAACGGAACCGGTGAACGAACGACCCTTTCATTTCCTTCCATGGCCCACTAAGGCGTCGACTTGGCGTCGATTGGCGTCGACTAACGTCGATCCGCAAGAGCCGGCAAGATGGTATGGGAGGCTCCCATGGGCTTTAAGTCGGGCCTGTCCCTCTGCGAGGGATTTGTCTTGTATTTGTTGAGCAATTTTTTGACGTCCAAAACGGACACGCCCGATGAGTGCCACCGAACTCCTCGCGCCAAAGGGGCCGGCGCTCGGGTCGCCAGGCCCGTCGAGTCCACGACGGGCGTCTAGTGGCGAAGGTCCCGGCCAGGAAGGGCCCTGTCGCCGATTCGATTCGATTCTACCGCTTCCGGTTTCGATTCGATTCGTCGAGACGATTCGAATACTGCCCGATTTCCGCCGATTGCGACTGCCGAGATCCGTCTCCAGATCGGGTGCTCCCTGCCTTTCGTGGGTCGCACGTTCGCATTTCTGGCCGAGACCGTCTTGTTTCAACAGATCGGGGCGTGCGATTCCGTGGTTTGACGGTGGGTCCCAGAAGGGCTTTTGTCCACGCAGTCGAAGCCGGTGATAAGGATGGGCAGCCTTCCCAAGCATCCTTTCCAGTGGCACTCGCCTCCAGCCCTACCAGGCTAAGAACTTTTTGTGGCTTCCACGGAACACTTCTGGCTGAGACTGTCTTGCACTGTTCTAAGAACTCGAGCATTTTTGGGTTCTAAGAACATTTCGTGGTAGGACTATCGGAATGCTGGGACGGTCTGTCCCTGCTCCATCCTTGCCTCCTCGGTCCATCTTTGGCCACTCTCGTTGGCCGCGCCCCGCTCGAAGAGCTTCGGACTGGGCGCCCAGGGCCCTTGCAGCCTCATCGCGCGTCCTTGTTACACGGGCCGACGGCGCAGTCGGGATGGGCAGCCTTCCCAAGGTGCCCTTATCCTTGCCCTTTTCGATGTCCAGCCCCGCTCGACTGGCTTCGATATGGGCGTCCGGAGGGGCTTGCATCCTTGCCGTGCATGCTTACTATCAGTTTCGACGGTAATGCTAGCCCTGTTTTCCACCACCACCACCATAAGTTGGACGGGGAGGGGGTCCTCCTCCTCCTCCTCCACCTCCTCCTCCTCCTCCTCCCCCTCGTCCTCCTCGTCCTCCTCGTCCTCCACCTCCTCCCCCCCTCCAACTTCTGGTGGTGGTGGTGGGAGACACGTCCATCAGGTAATCACCGCCCGCGGGGGGGGGGGGCTTCGAGGCGACTCCTCGCTGGGCGATGACTCCTATGGACACGCTCGGGCCCCCCTCCGGCGGCCGAGCCCGGTCCGAGCGTCCGCCGCGCCCGGCTGGGGGGTCCCAGGGAACGTCGGCCCCCGAGACGGTGGATCCGTGGATCCGCACGCACGTTTCGGGCCCCGGGTGCCTTCACAGACCGAAAAAAAAAGAAAAAAAAAAAAAAAAAATTCACAGACCGATCAGGCGCCATGAATCCTGGACAAGGGTTCGGAGGAAGGAGGAGCGGCACGACCACCACAAGGGGAGGCACCTCCAGCGAGGAAGGCCGCGGTGCCTCTCCGGAGCTGGGGGCAGGGGATGCCTCGGGCGAGGGGGGGGGGGCACACCACCAGGAGGAGCCTGCCTGGCTCCCCGCGCTTGTGGAGGTGTCGCTCTTCCTTGTTCCCAGAGACGCGACCCACAGCTCCAGCCGCGCGTCCTGTGCTTTCCCGCGGCCCACGACGTAGGATGTCAGGGACGCTGCTCGTGTTCCAATCTGGAGAGGGACTGACGCCCACACCGAGCCTGCAGTGCGGAATGGGGCCCAGGGATGGCCTCCGGTCTCGCCCGATGGCGGCCGAGGGCCCTGCCGGAAGCGGATGGGGAGGCGAGCCTTTGGGCCCGCACGGGCGAGCGGAGTCTTGGTGGTGGATGCGTCCTCTCTCTCCGTCTGAGTCAGCGTCGAGGAATCTGCATCACCAGACCCCTGGCTGTTGCAAGCTTTGTCGCAAGCAGGAGCCTCAGAGGTGCCAACCTTTTCCCCTGGACCAGATTTGCATCCTGAGCAGTTTTGAATCGTCCCAGGTTCCGCGAAGGACCCTAGAACCGGATAGTGTTCAACTCCAATTCCGCTGTGTTTCCACATCGCGAGGGGTCTAGGTTTTTCATGTCGAGGAAGTTGAGTGTTTCACCTTGTCTAGTTCCCGCTGTAATTTGTTACGAGCCGCGATTTTCATCTCCTGTTGCGACTTCAATGTGAAGGACGCTGCGCCACCTATGCGCACGCCCTCTCAGCAGCCAGGGCCTTCTCCCGAGTCCTGGCGGCAAGAACTGCCCACTTCCACCGATCCTGGCCAGGCCCATTCTTCAGCACCGTCGAACCGATACCCATCCCCATCCCCGCTCCCATGCAGGCCCCCGCTACCTCAGCACCCCCGTTGGGGATGTA